ACTGAATAATTGTTAAAGCTACGTTAAAAATCCAAATCAAATACACACACAAACAAACACACACACACACACACACACACACACACACACACACCTCAGTGGTCTTAAACTAAGTAATAGAAAAGAGCAAAAACCAACAAGTTTTGTAAAATTCAATAAATAATTTATTTCCCTGGTATAAAAAGTGAAAATTTAAATAGCACTTACAGCATTGTGAATTAAACCCTAAATAGTCCTAAACGTTTAATTATAAGTTCAACTTTATAAAGTTGCAACTGAATTCTAGCGGTATTCTAGGTAAATTCCAATATTGAATATGTCGATATCATTGTAGTATCGAACATGGTAATGTGCCAATGGCCTGGAGTGTAATGATGTGCTCACTAAATTTTCATATAACACGATAATATAGTTCAAAAAAGTTCTTGTCTGAATTCACTATATTCCAGAATAATGTTTCTGTGCACTAATATTGTTGATGAACACTATATTTCCATTGAATAACAATTTGAATAAATACTTCCACCAACGCAATTCTGAATCATTGAAAACCAAAACGTCATTGTCGAGTTCATGTGGGTCCCACCCCAGAGACATACCAGATAACGAAAGGCTGACCAAGAATCCAAAGTCAGGCTAAATGAACTCACAATCCAACAATTCGACTATTGTGTCCAGAAACTCTACAGTGTTATTAGATAAATGATTAGTGACAAATTGTAAAAAGAATGGGATAACTGCCCCCAAGGCCGAAAGCTACGCCTTATTATTAACTAATACAAAAGGAAATTGGCAGAAACATCCCCACCCCAATATTACCAAGCCACACGATTGTCATCACCATTCAAAAACCTGTGAAACTCTCCTAGCAAGTAGCTTCGGCAAGTATCTGCCAGGGGCACAAACTGTGGTCATCAACCGCCCCAAACCCGAAATGCTCAAATATAACCCCTGCCTAGGACCAACATTAAACTAATTACTATAGACGAAATGACCATCACACCTCCTGAGCCACGACAGAACTAATAGTTGGATGGGTCGTATGCCACTGCTTTACAGCGACGACTGCACACAAAACAGTGGCAGGGGAAAACGAAACATATTTACATCTGCTTATCTCCCTAGATACAACATTCCAAAATGTCGGACACAGCCATATATCAACGACTTAAATAGTAGGTGGGGAAAGTTATAAATTAAAATAAAAGCATGCTACAACAATCTGCACCTTCATTCCAAACCCGCTACATAGCTACCACAAAATTAATAATCCGCGAGGTCGCAAAACAACCGCTTATTAAAATGCAAAACATTTACATTGCTGAGAAGCGCGGTTCTCCTATACGGTTGCCTCGTTCGTCTTGCCCTAGGGCCGGACCTGCATCAATCCCAGCCACTCAAGGTGAAAACTCGATACGTGTCAAGGAACCTAGCTGTAGGACACGAACAAATTGGCTAAACCAACAATTTAAAATTATAACGTGGTCATGAGCCAGACCGTCAGGGTCCACCGCACAGTTACATTTTTCAATCACCGGAAGCAGGTAATAATAAAAACCAACCCTCCAATAAACTTAGGCAGTATAGGTGATTAAAGCCAACACCATCAAGCCTGGTCACAAAAGGTGACACAGATTTCAAAACTAACACTTTTAGACATCATTTCATATAACATTGCGCAGAGTTGTTTTTTTCTTCAATTTATCTTCAAAATTATCAAGAGCAAAACGATAATATATTAGTTTCCCAAATAAAGTTAAAATGTACACCTTTAACTACCTGGAGCCCTTCGACCACAGCGCCTCCGCCTTCACCAACCTTGCCTCAGCATGCCATGGTGTTATAGGCATACGGTGCCTATAGTAAAGTGTCTAGTGGAGACACCTGTTTCCCACTCAACGATTAAATTAACCATGCGTAGTGCGCACATCGAAATCCCCTAACTGACTGTTTTCACACTCAGATAAATGGTAAAATTTTGAGGGCTGGTGGCTTCTTTCCCACCCCTCAAGTAGATGTATATGGCCTTTGATTTAAGAGAAGGAAGGAAGAAACCCAAATATTAACAAGAGAACCCCACAGAACTACAGCATAAGGAAATAATGTTCTGGTACCTTTACACTAGTATAAGGTACTAACCACCTTACGATCAAAGCCCTCACAAAGGTGTGATAAACAATTCTGCAAAAGAATCAAAAACAAAATAAATTCTGCTGAAAAATAATGGCAGACCTAAGAGAAAAGACTAATATGACACGCGTTACTAATTGAATTGAAAAGTGGGAACCCGCCTAGAAATGGGTGAACATTAAATAGAGTATATACGGGTTTGGCTGACCAGGGTTGGTTAATAATGTAAGTTATGTTTTAGGAAAAAGAATCTTTTGAGACCTTATCCTAGTTGAAAGTGAATAAAAATAGAGACATTGTTTTATTGGTGGATTTTCAGTTCTTTAAAAGTCTTGAGTTTAGAACACTCATTGCTTTAATTAGCACCTGACTCTTTAGTGCGGAATTGAAAGCACATGTTTCAAACATATGCAGCTCCAGAAAATGCCGCGGCTCATATCCTTTCCTCTGCACAGAAGCTGACTTCCAGGTTTCATCTATACTGATAAACATAAGTTTGGTCATGAGCACTCCAAAATTGTAAGTTATTGAATTTGTAATATCACGGTGTTAGCATAGGTTTACTATGGGAACTGAATTAGTATCGTGATTCCTATAGATCCCACATATTAACTCAGAAAAAAAAAATACTGCCCAGAATAAACTCAGAAAAATAAAATAAAATACTGCCCAGACTCCGCGGACCTGTACCAAGACTCAAATTGACAATAATATTAAAGACTTACAAAGAGGACCACACAATAGGTCTAAGGGCCACACTATTAAATTACATACAGAACAAGTACAATGCCTGTACTCAAATATACACAAACGGGTAAAAAATAACAATATAAAAAATAGCGGCTGGAATAGGCATTCCAAACTAAGGTTTTTCGTTTAAGAAAAACAGACAAAGTACCAGATGAGTGCACAATATACACTGTAGAATTCATGGTGATAATATCAGCGCTAAAATACATCAACGACAATCCAATAATGGTAGCAGTAATATTGAGCGACTCGCAGTGTCCTCCGATATTTGGCATCCGACCAATCAAAGAGTAGACCAAACATGATTAAGCCCCACAAGATCTCTTCTCAAATAAATAAGGCAAACCAGTAAAAAGAAAAATCAGGGTCGCAAACAGGGTTTATGGTCTCCAGAAGAAATTCTACAGTAGGCTCGTATGAATTACAAATTGTGACTGCGTTGGATCCCCTGATCGTTGTGGGTTCCCGTGGTTTTTTTTTTTTTTTTTTTTTTTTTTTTTGTCCTAGTTGTTCTACCCTGTACTCCGTTATAAAAAAAAGAATTTGTATGGATCCCATCTCATGTACTAATTCAGGGAAATGAAAAGGCAGACGCAGCGGTGAGAAACAATCTCAAGGAACCCATGCTTGCACACATCGCATGCAGCATCACCTAAATAAATAGAATCATCAGGAACAAAATAAACGCAAAATGGCAAGAACGGTGGGACCAGTTGACCACTAGCTGACAAATGCACAAAAGAAAAAAAAGCAATTAAGAATATAAAGTATTCGACTTTAAAAAAAAATGCACGATACCGATATAATAAACATGATAAGAACAGGCTGTACCCTACTGGCAGGATGTGCAGGAAATTATATAATAGGGGTTACAAATACAAACTGCCACTACTGCCCGACTCCTCCGTGCCCCTTTTACGAACAAAAAAGGGCATAGTTACAAACCAAACAGAAAAAAACATAAGGGAATAAAGCACATACTCGGGGTTACCAGAGTACAAAACCAAAAACATCGGAAATTGTAAATAACGAAAGAAACAAAAGAGTAAAAATTTAAAATTTAAAAAAGGGCACAGATAACCCCGTCAACAAAGACAATTGTAGAAGTAATACTGGACTGCTTTATAGCAACGACTAAAACCAAAGTCAATGGCTGACCTCAGGACCAAAATGAACACAGCAGCCACAACGAAAAGAAAATCGTAGAGATCGTATTGGACTGCTTCATAGCAACCTCTATAACAACTGTAGTTGGTTTCAAGATAAGCCACTTCAAAATCTTAAACACATAAAAAAATGGAAAATAAAATAAAAGCCAATTAACAATTGAGAATAACGAACTCTCTAAAAACTAGGCTAATAATAACACTAATTAAAACAACCGATAATAACGGTTTTTGTATGATAATATAAAGAAGACTACGTACAAATAAAATTTCAATTAAAAACAACAAAAAAGCAACAACGCCAAATAACTAAATGTTCAATAAAGTAAGAAATGCAAACAGAAAACAAAAATGCAGAAAAAGTAGACAAAACGCGGCAGAAGAAGATCAGGTAAAGAAGAAGAAAACATCTTCAACGCAGACGTGAAGAAGTAGCAGACATAATAAGAAACAAGAAACATAGAAGGATACAATAAAAAGGTTACTGCGGAGAAAGCAGAAATAAAGAAGAAAAGGCAAAGAAGAAGCAGAAGATAGCGGACTTCTTGTGCAAAGGCTAAAGAAGATGCGTGGAAAAGAGAAGAGAAAAGAACATACACAAATTGCCACCATTAAATAAAATAGATACCCTAAACCTGGTTATACTGAAAAGAAACACTAACCAAAACCAAAACCCCCACCCCCTACCCAACTGGAACAAATATATTCATCTATAGCACACAACCAACAACCGTTAAAACATACACAAACAGAAAACATTTATAATAAACACATTAAGGCACCCGCCCCATATTCCCCACTCCAAGCACATATATACATATTCTTTATATATATATATATATATATATATATATATATATATATATATATATATATATATATATATATATATATATATATATATATATATATATATATATATATATACATACATACACACACACACAAACAACCGCTCCGGTGTCCTAGTGGTTAGAGCGTCCGTTTCGGATGCGGGATGTCGCGAGTTCGATACCCGGTCGAAACATACCAAAGACTTACAAAAATGGCACATATACACATATGCACACACATACACACACACAGATACGAAGCAGGAAACAATTAACATAATTATTTCAAGCGAATAAATAAAAAGTATCCTACAGGTTTGACATGTTCTAATTCGTATTCGACGATGATTTGAATCTGGGTCCGCTGTTTACGGCACCAATCGCACACACCAACCCCTGTGTTATTTCGACCACGCACAAATCAGTCTAGCTTACTTTAGCCTTATTCTTTCATAAATGCAATGAACTCCCCGACTGTTAAATAACAGCTGTAGATAGTTATATCAAGATCAAATTAAATTAGTTCCAAACTTGACAAAAGCAATGGCATGATAAGCATGAGATGAAGGAACCGAATAATGTTCAAAAGAATAATCTTTACCTCACCAATAAAATTTGCCGTGTGAAAATTCGGGATATCAGTCAATTGCCCGAGGGGCGTAGCAATCGTGCACTTGTCATGCTGGTACAGTTGAGAGGGAAATAAAACTAGAGTCTCCCCCTCCCAAAAAATCTTCAAAATTTAAATCGTTCTTTCAGAACTGAAGCAGCTATTATTTGGACATAGCAGGTGACTCTAAAGCTAGGGAGTACTTTACATGACCATGCATGGAAAGTGGAACATCTGTACACGCCGTGCTGCTATTAATATTCATTTAATACGTTGGATGGATTTTCGACTTAATATTGAATTATAATAAAATACAACTAGAAGCCCACCAGTGTCCGGCATGATGTGAAAAGATGATGTCGCGATGAAAAGGACCAACACTGTCATTGTATTCTCAAGCAATCGACGCTTTGTAAGTGAGCGGTCACTTGTGAAATTTTAGGACAGTAATGTTTGATGATGCTTAGAAACATTATTTCAGAAGCACGAAGTAATAACAATATCATATTGTCATTGTCACCAGTCCGTGATTTATTGCTGCCAAAGGACTCTTACTTGTCCCTGTTGAAGTTGACACGAGCGAGATGAAATCCTTTGTAATCCTCTTTCATGGCAGAGAAATTGTGACAGACAATTAGCAAAAGAAAGAAAGAAAGAAAGAAAGAAAGAAAGAAAGAAAGAAAGAAAGAAAGAAAGAAAGAAAGAAAGAAAGAAAGAAAGAAAGAAAGAAAGAGTTTTCAAAGAGACCCTCTGGTTTACTACTTCAATCAGAAGGCAACCGTTCGGCTGATACATTGTTATCAATGCAATGAATGCTTGCATTGTATATGATTGTTGTAGATCATTTAAGCTGAGAAAACAAAACAGGTAACAAATATACACATCATAGTAACTAACTTTAGATTGAATTGCAGCCTCATAAATATGCTAATGACGAACGAAAAGGCTAATTTATTTAGTCATGCTACAGCAAAGTAAGACAACATTTGAAAAATACTTTCAATCAATCTCAAACTTATTCTTTTTAATACCACAATAACAACATTCAACAATTGCATAATGATGATATGCTATCAATGGGTCAAAAAGAAATGCTAGCTGTATTTTTTATTACAAGAAAAGTCAACTTTTAGAGTCACCCGGATGAATAAATGCTATCGTCATTGCCTTCCATTTTTAAAAAGACCGTCTCTGAAACCGTGCAAAATTCAAGTGTCGTCTTCAGTTTCTTTTACTCTTCCATCGTCATCGCCTCCTTCATAGTCGTTGTACAGACACTAAAAGTGCATATACACTTTTTGTGTTAGTTTACTTTGTTCATTTTATATAGTCACGTTAAAATGCTGAATAGATACGAACTAGTTTTAAACGCCTTATCTTAATAGTTAAAAAAAAAATATCATATATTTGTGCCATATCTAAATTTCTATCAGTCCCACTTGACATTTCCTTTTTAAATTAGATGTACCAGAATGTCATGCCTACTTGAGTCCATAGGAGTATTTCTATCTTGGGTAAATGCATCACTGAATCGAGTGTTAAGTTAATAATAACTGTTGCAAGGAGTGACTGGACACTTGAGCAACTGGTTTAGACGTCTAGTAAAAGATGAGCAATGTAAGAAAGGACGATGATATGGATGGCGATGTTTGGTTATTGAAGCCCTTTATAAAGGACCACCCCAGTAGTATATACTGCAAATAAAGAGGCCACGTGTAGTGTTATCGGATTCCTATACACTTAATGGCCGGTTGATGTAGTATTTGATTCTAATTAATGTTGAAATTGGTAAAATAAATAGGCCGTGTTCGATTTTGTATTTTTATTTGTAATGAGTATCTGTTAAAATATATTATTCCATGCTCTTCTTTTACGAGGTTTTCTCTACTTTCTCGATGAATGGAAGTTGTAGGCACATTACCTGAGATAAACAATAGAAAAAAGACACCTCTCTTAAATCTATTATTTTCTAGAAAGAAAATATGGAAACAACAAATAGATAAAAAGTAATAAGCACAACCAAAAATGGATTGAAATTCCCTTTTGTTAATTTTCTGATTCGGAACGCAATATATAGTGCGCGTGTGCGAGTGCGTGCGCGTGCATGTGTGTAAATCATTAACTCCACCGAAACCGAGACAGCTGTTGAGTGAATTATAAAAAAAATAAATGTTTAAAATCATAATCATATTTCTTGATTAACAGCAATAAGATTTTCACCATGGACATTTAAGATGCTCATCGATTGCTTTAGTTGCTTGCACCATGAACATGGCCTATAAGACAGAAACCAGCAGGAAATTTTTTAAGTGAATTGCTTTAAACTGTTTCTTTCAATATTCTGTTTCTAGACTGAGGTAGCTATTATTTTGTTTGGGGATGCTAACGTTGACTGCAGACACATAATAGCGATTTAATTCGATTAGCGGTCAACAACACTTAAGACGATGATGAATGGTATGAGACACTGCAGTACTGCTACTAAAAATATTTAACACTTTAGTAAGATTTTCCATTAAATTATGAAAAGCCATAAACAGAGTCCCACCATTGCGAGTCAGTGTGCGAAACGATCTTGTCACGATGAAAAAGACCAACACTGGTCAGTGTTCTCAGCCAGACAACACCTGTAAAGTTGCTTTCACTCGTGAAATTCGACGTCAACAAGGATTAATCATGCATAAATATGCTGTGATGACCAATCACGAACTATGAACAATCTATCATGCGTGATTTTTATTCTGAAACGTTAACTACAGCTGACAAAAGTCTTAAAAGACGCTACGGTCTCAAGTGCGGTAACTGGAAACTATCAATTGTGATATCCTACTGTCAGGGGCAAGTACTGGCCATCCAAATCAGATACCGTGACCCAGTTCACAAGTCAAACTAAGTTAAATACAAAACACGAAGTCTTTATCTTCGTACATTTATCTCTAATTTCAAAAAAAAAATTCAGTCTTTCTAGTATTAAATAACAGAATAAAAATATTCAGTTTCTTCATTCATCCAACACTGATAATTCTTCTCAGCGACATATTCAGGCGTGTTTCCAGGAACGCTTTCCTTTAGACATTTTTGCAGTAAAGTTTCCTTAAATGAAGGCACGATTACACTGTCCTTAAAAAAGAACCCAATTTTATCTGAAACCAGGATGTTATACGGCAAAAAAAAAAGAACTACCAAGGCTGCCTTACGTTTCTGTTCGGACGAGTCAACACAGATTTTAGATGTTGAAGAATTTGCTTATCAGATTAGACTGTTCGCTCTGTGAAACAAACATTAAACAATTCCACGGTTTAGCTATTTTGTAGATTATAAGAAATTAGAAAACAAGGTGTACAATACCCATGTGCCAAATGTATTACATAAGCTGAAGCATCATTGATGAAAATAACTTAACCAAAATACAAATATTTTAAATACATAATTCTGAAAAATATTTTCCCATACAAAAGTGAGAAAGGTAATTGCAGTTCAATCAGCATGACAAATTTGGTACAATAAAAGATGATTATTGTCTCATAAGCAACAGCTACCGTCAGTCCTAAACAGCTACAATAAATCCAAACTGGGTATAATAATGGGTTCTAAAATAAATTGCTAGATAAATACTCATAAATTAAGCTATAATAGCAAAGTTCGCAACGTAAAGGGCTTCATTACCCGATATGACAAAAAACGAGAATAAGTTTCGTAAATCAAATAAAATATAAATGTGATACTTACCCCTATGGCCGGAGAACATAATGGAGAACGTTCACTCCCTGACAAAATCCAAATGACATGTGCCTCAGTTTGAAATGAATCAACTTTAAATTCTTAGGAGAGTGAATAATAATCATGTTCAAATGCTCAAGTATACCATGCCTTTCGTGATTCTCGTCGCATGTATTTTCAGAATCACTCACCTGGAGAAACAAATATTTACCCCCAGGTAACGTTGTACACCTACACAGCGAATAAAGGTTTAAAAAAATAGATTTACGGCAAAACCATATTATTTCTTGCCTTTTTCTGTATAGTGTTTTTACTTTGGTGCGTGCCTGTACATTGCACACTTAGATTTTTACCAGTTTTAAAATTAACCATAATAATGAACCTGTGCACAAGGTTGTGGTGATATATAATTGGATGAGTGAGTGAAATTAGTTTTTCTGCGACCGAAGGTATTGTGAAAAATGTCAGGTAGGAAGGATTGCAACATGGGTTGAGTAGGAGAATAATCGATATGGAGCTTTTCTGATGATGGCACATGCGTATGCTAGTGATTGTTTCTCTGAGTGCATTAAGTTTAATATATTTCACAGCAGTTTCGAAATTTTATATTGTTTTGTGATGCAGCTGTTCAAGCTTTGAGCTAAATGTACTAAATTCACAAATAACAGTAACTGAATGAGAAGAGTGAAAACAGATCGAAGGCTAAAATTATATTATATAACAAAACTTATAAAAAGTTGTCGAGTTGATTGTCATGACTAGCACCGTGCACCACTCTTCATTAAATGATTTTTTGGGTCATTTTATGAGATCATTAGTTGTTTCCTTTAATTCATGTAAATAAAACCATTGGTCGGGGATAGC